TGCAAAACCCACAATAATAAAAGTTTAAAAGCTTGCACAAATTGCAAAAAAACGAATTAAACTTCAAGAAATGATCATCTAAATTTTTAATTAGAATATTTAAAAAATTTTCGGGTATTCAGTATTGTAGTCCATTCAATTATAGTATAAGAAAGTGCAAGTTTCAAGTTGTTAAAAATTACCGTTGATTTTTTAGATTTTTTTTGTTGGGGTGTTGCTGTTTTTTCCCATACAAAAAAAAAATGCGAACAACCCTCCACAAAAAAATTCTAAAAAAATCAACGGTAGTTTTTAACGACTAGAAACTTGGACTTTGTTATACTATAATTGAATGGACTACAATACTGCATACCCAAAAATTTTCAAAATATTCTAATTAAAAATTTTAAAATTTTTATAAAAATTTTTTGAAGTTTGATTTATTATTTTGCAATTTGTGCAAGCTTTTAAACTTTTATTATTGTGGTTTCTGTTATAGATTGAATTATATTTTAAAGGAAATTATTAAAAATAAATAAATAAACATAATTTGCAAACAATATCATTTTGAATTTCGTTGCTAATTAGTTGATCGCATCTGTGTGTACTACAAGCATCCATATGCGCATTCCTGGGAAATGGATTTGCATTTGACTCCAGAACTATTATTTACAAATAATATCTACGAGTATTGCAGTAAAAGTCAAAAACAACTTTGAAGTTAACAAGTGCATTGCTTTGTACATTTTGTTTGTTAATGCGTCCATCTTCAAAATGAGTATGTGAAAAAACCAAGTTTATCATTTTTTTTAACTAACATGCATTTTTACTATTTACATAATATAATACTCGTACAAGAAGCGAACTTGAACAGATGCTTTTTAAGTTTTTAGCAACATTAACTACTGAATAAATTATATTTAACAAATGGTCATGCAGAAATGCAAGTCAGCAATTTTAACTAATATAAAAGTNATCATTACAGAAATTTACATTTTTCTCTGTTAACTCTTTTTGAAATGTTAATCGCGCTGTGGTGATATTCCATGGATTTATTTTTCAGCCAAACAATTTTACGTTCCAAAAATTTGCACCTTCTCTATCTATCTAAGTTCTCTGCTTGGACACACAAAACTCAAACACTCTCATTTGTTCAACGCTAACTCACCTCCCACCTGCAACTTCTGTAACAATAAAACACATATTAACTGAGTGTAACTCATTTCAACAAAACAGATTATCCATCTTCAACAACTCTAACCCTTTGACAGCCTTAGCAGAACCTAGCTTTGACAACATAAAAAAAACTATCACCTTCCTAAAAACCTCAAACCTAATTCATTTAATTTAGCTTAGCACGGTCACCATACATAATTCTATATTTACCTCAACTGACTAAAATATTAAAATCCACCTAAAGACAGCCGAAGGCCATTGCTGCTAGCGCTGCTTTCTTTCATAGGTTAGCTTGTAATTTTTTTTTTTAGCTTGTAATTTATAATCATAAGCTAAATAATTATAAATAAATAAATAAAAATAGAGTTCTTTTCAGTGTCCCACCAGTCACATTCATTTAAATGATAGTTATATAAAACTAAGAAATCGTTTGTTATTTTTGTTAAAGCAATTTTATACATTACACTCCAAAACATTTGTATAAAATAAGGACTACAATAGGGGTAAATTCATGTTTAAATTAAATCTAAAACATTTGTATAAAATGAAGACTACAATGGGAGTAAATTGATGTTTAAATTGTTTTGGTGTCCGGAAATGGGCATTTTTGCACCTACTTATGTGAAAAACAAAAAATTTTCTGATTTCTTAATAAAAATATGTAATATTTACGTTTACAACCAAAGTGTAAAATGTCTAAATTTGACGGACGAAGTGTCTAAGTGTCTAGATTTAGCCGGTTGCGATAGCAAACAGCCGGAGAAATTTCGGTTTAGCCGGCAGCCGATTTTTTAGCCGTGTTGCAAAAAAATTAGCCGTTTTAGCCGATTTTGCTATTTGCCTTGTTTTCTTAAAATTCAAATATATACATATGTTTCCATTTTTGACTAAGCCACCCAGTATCTGTTAAAAATGGCTACCAGCCTTATCGCGGAGAAAATTTTCATGTCAGGCAGGGTTATATAAAATTTGGCCAATTTCGCTTATTTTTATTTTAAACGAATATATTTTTCTAAAGAAGGCCGTAGCGGGGATTTTCTTCATAAAATGTTTGTTATGAATATCTTGAATTTAAGTGCGAAGCATCATTATACGCAAACTTAGAAAATAACTAATTCCCTGCAAAAAATTGTGCGACTAATCTCTAAAGAGAGTATTCCGAGATTACTCTCAATCGGGTACGATTGGGCATTAATTAGTCGCAACTAGTCTCATACGGGTACTAATGGAGGTCAATTAGTCTCGACTCATCCCTTATGGGTATAATTGGAGATCAATTAGTCCCCAACTCATCTCTAATGGGTACTATTAACGATTTAATGATATGTACGCACTTAGTCAATGAAATTTCATGTGCGGCGTTGGCACCCAGAGAGAGTATTCGCCTAACAAAACTGAGCACCCCGGTTCGAATATCAGCTGGCGCAAATTTTTATTTTTATTTTTTAAAAGTGACTAGTCGCTTTTTATACCCTTTCGGGTATAAAGGTGAACAATTAGTCTCTTCATAGGACATGCTCGAACAAAAGCGATCAGTTCATTCCATATAAAGAGATCAAAAGTGGTATTAGTCGCATGCTCCTTTGCGATTGCTCCCGGAGTCGTCCCGGATTAGTCCCATTTTTTGCAGGGTTGTTTCACTGTTTGCTTAACACGCGTTTGTGTTTGGATATAGTGCCAACACATAGAATAAATATAACTGGTATTGTCTTCTCAGATAGCGTATATTCAATTCTGCCTTAATTAAGAAGCATCATTGTTCCCCAAGCTTAAAGGTTTAAGGTAAAGGAAAAATTAATATTTTCATGCACTATGTACACATACATGTGTATTTTTTTAAACAAATTTTTTTGCTGAGAACTTATTTAAATTCCAAAAACCGAACGCCAACTTGAATTAAAAACAACCAAATGTCAAAATGAAAACAAAAGCAAAACTCTATGGGAAGACAATAGGTTTGTTCTTCGAAAATCCAGCGAGAATTATCACTCAAAATATCAGATAGTAAGAAAAAATGCTCCCAAATTCTCTCGCAAGTAGATAAATTTGCAAATTTCTGCACGAACGAGAATTTGCAGGAATTTGCAAGTTTCCCTGCTAGCTAGGGTCCACGGTTGCATTTCAAACATAATAAATTTGTATAGAATTTTTAAAATTCTTTCATATGGGCAAAAAAACAGGATCTACATGTATATCCCTTGTTACTTTGACTTTTTTCAACATACGTTTCAATTTCTTTGTCGTAGTAACTGTCGGGTTTCCTAAATCGACTCTGGTTGCGATTGCATTCCGATTACGAATATAGTTTTTTTCAGCCGAGTACCTTTCAAATCATTGGAATTAGCTAAATTAATTAACTAAGCAAATATTTACTTACATTTTTAATTTTAAAATCGCTCAAGTTTGTACATTTTTAAATTTAACGAACTAGTTTGTTAAAATTATCGTAGACAAAAAATCCAACCATGTGCCACAATCATATGTGTGGCGTACATATGAAATGCGACCCTGAGCGTTTGTAAAGTTAATTGTATTTTAAGCAAGTGGCGACGCAAAAAACTTGTTCTCTCCCTCTTGTTATACAACTTCGTTGAACACCTGTCACGACCTTTTGAGTGCTCGCAATTATAGCTAAAATAAATACATAGATATTAAGTATACTTGAAAAATAAATCTTATTTTATTGTGGACATC